TTTTTATCTGTGAAATGTTGGAAGGTATGCACTTACATGGGGGTTCCCAAAGACCAAATGGTTATATCTGAATCCCAGTGCTAAAATGGAAGTATGATTTTAACATGTGGAAATGAACAAAGGAGAGGGACTGATTCTACTGAACAAATTTTTGTTTCAGAGAGAAACATGTTTTCTATTCCTCTGAGATCCAGGAGGTATTTGCTTTCCTATCTATGTGCATGATAAAAAAAAAATGTTGGGTTTAGGGGGTCTCTTTTACCCCACCCCTGTGCTTTATCTTTAAAGTAAAGGCCATCTGTGCGAGTCATTTGTGCATTGCCCTGATGCGTCTGAGACAGGAATGCAGGGCCATTTTAGACATAAAGGGAAGCACATCTTTTCAACTGGATTATCCCTGTATAAACAAGCTGCTGCAAACTTCCATTTTTGGTGCTTCCCAGGTACCCCCTCTATTCTTGAGACATATGCATAAGAAGGAGAGTGGAAGATTTTCAACACGCCACAGTTTCCTGCTGTGCTCAGACTTGAGAACTTGTGCTGTGCATGCTTGGTTTAAATTCTAGTTAGTCAACAAGTGGATCTGAAGCCATAATTTGATCCTAGTTTGTTTCACACTAAATAGGATGTAAACAAATCACAGCTGGGTTAGGATCTAATAGAAAACTCTAGTTTGTTTTCAAACAAAAACGCTGTCAATTTCTTCCTGCAGCAGTGCTGAATGAAAATCAGTAGTACTTCTAACACAATCTTTAGGTGAGCAATAAGGACTGTGAAAATACCTGTGAATCCCAAATACTGGCTGTACTATCTGGCTACAGTTCCTGCAGAATTACCTGGGTTTGATTTTATGCAACCTTTGTGCCTCAGTTTACCAGTACATTTACTCAAAAGCTGTCATGTTACAGCCAAAAGAGTGCATTTTTGTGAAGTCTGTTAAGTGTTTGTATAGCCACTTGAAACGCTTAGAATAAATTTGAACTGTACTAGAATAAGATAATATTTGGGAGTGCTAAATAGCAATACTGTTACTTTTATAATACAGCAGTACAGCTCTTTGATGTCTCCCAGAGCCAGAAGGTCAGGTGAAACATTGCCAAAGAGTTAACAATTGCACAGCCAGAAGGATCAGCATAGTCTTTTAGTTTTAAATGCCTTTCTAAAACCTGTTCTTCTGCTTAGGATTTCAGCTGAGGTTCTGAGATCATAGACACAGAGCTTTCTAAGGCTCTTTTAGTGCTGGGCCTCATTCCCACTTACAGTACATTCAAAGTGGTTTGCAATTCACCTTTGCTCCATGTCAGTAAATTGGTTCAAAAAGGTCTGTCATTCCTACTATGAAATTCCCTTGTAATCGCTTCTTTTTTGGAACGATTGTCGTTCCCACTAGTTTGCGCCCCTTCAAAATCCATGTCAATCATCCATGTGTCATCGATGATGCAAACGGCAACATGGCAAGGACAGAGCCATTCTCTTTTTTGCAAGCCATCATCAGCCTCGGGGAAAGTCGTGGGGAAGAGAGGAAAATTGGGGGTCTGTGCCCTCCTTTTTGCAAGCCATCAGCCTTGGGGAAAGTTGTGGGGAAGAAAATTGCCCATAGGTCACACTGCAAAGCAAAGGCAGTGCTGAGAAGGGGGAAAGTGGCTGATTTCCCCAAAATTGAGGTGGGATGGTAAACACCTCTCTGCCAATCCCCTCTGCCATTAGTCCCTCCTCTCCAGTATGAGCTGATTCATATCTGTCATTCCCACTTGTTGAACATTCTTCTGAATCCGTTCTTTTCAAAAGAACCGCCAGAAAACTACTGTCAGAAAAGAGTGGGTTTTTTGTGTTTCTCTCGCTTCATCACGACTGAAACTGAGCTCAATATGATCAAAACTGGTTTCAAGTGGGGACGAGGTACATATAACCGGATCAGCAATTTGAGTTAAATCATAGTGGGAATGAGGCTCTGGATTGTAAAATGTCTGTAACTTAAGTGACTGAAGCAGCAAAAAGAAGGTATCTCTTCTCTTTTATATTCCAGACTACTATTTTACATTTGTTCCTCCTACATCTCAGAACTTGTTTCCTTCAGATAATGAACAATGATTGAAAACTGGACAGAGCCATGTAATGATTCTTCTTTGCCAGAATTTAGGAAAGTAGCCTTTTGGACTACAGCTCCCAGAATCCTACAGCCAGCATGTTCAACCCTTTAATTTTTAGAGCTCTGATTCTTGGCGACATACTGCTAATGCCCCCCTCCAGATGTTTTTACATCCTTTGACCTCTCCATACTTCCCTACTTCTGTCCCAAACATGGGAGGGGAGAATTTTCCACCCTGCATTGTTTAACATAAAAATTATCAATTTTTTCAAAACGATTTTTAAAATGTTTTTCTCCATTGGGGGCAGTCCATACAGCTTGTCAGATGTAATGGTTATTTTATAGAAATAATCCAATTACATGTTGGAGAAATTGTAATTCCTATCATTTTGTAGGCAGCTAGAGCCCTTTCCTTTCTGCATGTTTTTGAGGGCTTATTGCTCAGGGCGGAAGGGCCTTTCAGAATATGCAGTACTTTTAATTTGTTTTCTTTTTAATGGCCATACTTTCAGTTCTGTTGTTGGATTTAATGTTTGCATGGTGTGACATTTTTAGCTGCATCTGTTTTAACATTTGTAAACCACCTTCAGTCTCATACTGGGGAAAAGGTAATAATAGTAATAGACAGTGTCTCAGCCTCCTCTGAACAAATCTTGCCAAGAAAAACCCATGATCGGTTTGCCTTAGGGTCACCATAAGTCAGAAACAACTTGAAGGTACACAACAACATTAATAATGATAATTACAACAACACAACATGCCCCCTAACTGTCCCAGTTTGGCAGGGACAGTCCTGACTAATCCTCTGCTGTCTGACTTTGTAGCTCCTTTTAATATGTTTGTTTCTCCTTCTCCCACTTTCCCCCCTCATCCCCAGTTTACTTCCACTGGTGTAAACTGAGTTCAAAGTACAAAAGTAGTTTGCACTCGTTGAACACAGCAGTGGGAGAGAAGAGGAAGAGGCAGAATCTTGTCCTTTTCAGAAGCCCATACAAAAGCAAAGTGCTGCAGCCTTTTCTAGTTTGTGTGTTCTTCTTCATTAATAACTTCTGCCATCTTGACCACGCGCTGATGTTGCTTGGCCACACATGTCCCAGTTTTCATCTGTGAGATGTTGGAGGGTTCATAATAATGATAATGACCCCAGACCTCGAAACATTAGGCCTTTGGGCTAAATCCAACAGTCTTGAGATCCTAGTTGGTCCTTGAACTTCTTAGATGGCTATACTTACCATCATTTGTTGGGTTTCCAGATTTTGTATACCTTTTTTTTCCCCAGTTATAAAATGCCTCCCCAAAGGCTTAATTACTTGCATCAAGACCTTTCAACTACATTATGCTAATATTTTCATCCTACCCTTTTGCCATTGCCCCCACCCATCACTGAAATGCAGTTCCACCTCAGAAATTCTCTAAAATCACATCCAGCCCTTGGGGTAAAAAAGACTTATCCATGTCTGCTATAGGTGGAGAGGGGAATTTGCATCTCACAGTCCACCCCCTCCCTTGTTTAATAGTCTCCCAGCCACAAGAGTTGTTGTTGTTGTGGTTGTTGTTAGAAATGGATCCAGAGCCCCCAAACTTTCTCATCCCTTAAAATCTCCTTACTTTGCCAGAATATGTGTTCTAAAGATTTATTATTATTATTATTGTTGTTGTTGTTGTTGTTGTTGATATCCCTCTCTTCTTCCAAATGGGATTCAAAGCGGTTTTATGGTATAAATTAAAACAGAGCAGTTGAAAACAAAATACTCTAAAAATCAGGAAGTGACTTCAGATCACATTCTAAGTTACCTACATTTTCAGCTGATTTTGTGTCATAAAAAGCTAGTCTACACATAAATGTACTATATGAATTGGTGTTGGTTAATTGTCCTCACTTTCTGCTCAAATTCATATCTCTTTACATGTATTCACTCTCCCTCTGCTGAAAATGTGCAGCAATCCAAATACAGTGGGGCCTTGGTATCTGCTGGGGTTTGGTTCCAGCGGATACCAAAATTCATGGAGGTTCAAGTCCCATTATATACAGTGGTGTAATAAAATGATGTCCCTTATATAAAATGGCAAAGTCAAGGTTTTTGTTTTGTGTATGTGTATATATATATATATATATGTGTGTCTGTGTGTGTGTATACATATATATATATATATATATATGTGTGTGTGTGTGTGTGTGTGTGTGTGTGTGTATATATATATATTCAGGCTATGGATGTTTGAATCTGTGGATAAGGAATCTGTGAATATGAAAGGCTGATTTTACATAGGAAGCAGACAAATGGCTACACATGTGATAATGTGCATTTTTGCAGATTTTAGAAGATACTCCAGTCCAGTAAAAACTTAAAAGCCTTTTTAAAGTTTTTTGGGGGGGGGCACTAAAAGCCCCAACTCCTGTGAATTGCATGTGGTGGAGCACATTCTATTCGACTGGAATGAGGAGCATTATAAAATGTGTAGACTAGTCCAAAGGCAAAGGTGTAACCTGCTTTAGGGCAGCCCTGCCTCCTCTACAATTGCCCATTCCTTCTCAAATCAGTATCTAAATGCTACATATTGAGTGAAACCAATTTCAGGGATTCCAAGGAAGAAACACACAATGCAAAATATAAGAGGGGGCAGACAGGGAGATTATAAGCAAATATATTTATTTAGCTAAATGCTTCCCTTGAAGAAGTATATTGATGAACAACTGAAAATGTATTAAAATGTAAATATTACACAATTGTTTATTACTGACCATTGTACAAATGACATACTGATTATAAAATCTGATCCTTTTACTGTAAAGGATTTTCAGAGTTTTCTCCTTTGCTCTTTGTCTGGAAATACTAAAGTTCAGTTCAGGGGAGGAAAGTAAATTTCACAGCTCTATAGAATAATTATATTCCCTAATTATTATTTGAGAGCCAGTGTGGTGTAGTGGTTTGAGTGTTGGACTACAACTCTGGAGACCAGGGTTCGATTCCCAGGTTGGCCATGCAATCCACTGGGTGACCTTGGGCAAGTTATATGCACTCAGCCTCAGGGGAAGGCAATGGCAAACCTCCTCTGAACAGATCTTGCCAAGAAAACCACAGCATAGCTTTGCCTTAAGGTCACCATAAGTCGGAAACAACTTGAAGGCACATAACACACACACACAATCATTGTTTCAGTTCCTTGTCAATACATTTGGCCTAATTCTCTTTCTCCCATTTCTGTTTCCTCCAGGGGACTGCTTGATGTTTTGCTCTGATTACAAACAGTGTGGTGATTTCACCTTATGAAGTGTAATGCCCAAACACTTAAACTCAGCCGATTGATTCATGAAAACATTCAGGCTCCTATGAGAGCTAAAGATTCAGTGTTGTTTTGCTGGCATAACTATATGCTACCAAATGCTTAGGCACATACCGAGATACAATAAAGCCTGTGCACTTATTACTTTTCAAAGCTAAGCTTTTGTTTATTTATACACTTTTGATTTTGATATTAGATGCCATTTCTATTTTCCCATTCCTTTCTTAACATTCACATTCCCTAGTATAACCAGGATCCAAAGAAGCACTTCAGATTTTGTGTCCAAAGGGATTACCCCTTTATTTAAAGACATGTATGTGGTTTAAGCATTTGGTCAGATCACAGTAAGCAAGCTAAGCAAACCAGAGGACTGAGATGACCTCTACATCACTCCCAAAGAGTGACTCCTGTAAACACCAACATAGGACTAAGCCCCCTTTAACTCAGTGGGGTTTATTCAGAGGTGCAGCTACAAGGGGAATAAAATAAGGGCATAAGATTCTTAATGGATTTTTCAAATTCAAATTTTCTTTCTGTCCCAAATTTCTCACATTGCAAAGAGTGAAACGCTGAAAATCATTCTTGCCTAGAAGATGCCAGCCACAGATGCTGGCGAAACGTCAGAAAGAAACTCTTCTAGAACATGGCCACACAGCCCGAAAAACTCACAAAAACTATAGAATGTTTGTATTTGCTTTTCAAAAGGCTCTTGTAGCACCTTTGATGCTGCTGCCACACTGCAAAAATAAAGTAGTTTGACATTACTTTAACTGCCATGACTCAACAGTATGGAATTCTGGGATTTGTAGTTTTGCATCAGAGAGCTCTCGTGTCCCACCAAACTACAATTCCAAAATTCCATAGCATTGAGTCATGGCAGTTAAAGTACTGTAGTGTCAAACTCCTTTATTTCTGCAGTATGGCCACCGCCTGAGAGAAAGAAATTTGTGGCATACCCTGTAGAGACTGGATCTTGTTTTATCAGAAGCAATATATTTCATGGGGGGATAAAGTTAATATGTGGGAGGCCAGTATTCTCATTTTATCCACTGCCTCTGACCTGCAACTACAAGTCTTGCACTCCAACTCGGGAGGCCAGGGTTCAAATCTCCACTCAGCCATGAAAACCCATTAAGTGATTTTTGGTAAATCTCACTCTCTCAGCCTCAGAAGGCGGCAATGGTAAATCCCTCCCCTCACCAAATCTTGCCAAATGCTGTGATCGGTTCATTTTAGGGTCTCCATAAGCCAGAAACAACTTGAAGGCACACAACAACAACTATCTACATATATCTCCACTCTTTATTAAAAGTGAACAGCATTGTGCTGTAAAATAGCTGGATTTGCACACTTGGCCATGCAATCCATTATGTGTCTACCCAGAAGTAAATGCACTAGGGTTAATGGCACACACTCCCAAGTATGTCAGTATAGGATTCCAGACCAAATTATCTTCTTATTGAAGGAGAGGGAACATTCAGTGGAAAGTGGGAATATATGAATAATTGTGGAAATGTGTGCATGTCCATTCAAGTCCTCTGTTGACTTCTGGCAACTTAATTGATTTCATAGGGTTTTCTGAGGCAAGGAATAATGTTTTTTAGGTGAGTTCTTATGTCTTTGTCTTCTGAAATACAGTTTATAGCACTTGATATGCCTTGGCAGCCTTCCATCTAAGTACTAAGTCTGACCCTGCTTAGCTTCCAAGATCAGGCAGGATGTAATACCTTCAGGGGATTGTGGAAAGCAGGGAACTTTTTCTACCATACAATACATTTATATATTTTAATGCACATAGCTTCATATGCATGAATCTATGAAACAGTGTCCATTCCCAAAACTGTGTGTTATGTATATATCATCACAGTTATTTTAGATTTATAATACAAAACACAACAATTACTTTATACCACACACATATTTTTCATATATGAAAAATATAAAAGTATAATAATAAATGACATGATAATATTAATAACATTTATTTTGTTGTTACATGCCTTCAAGTCAACTCCAACTTATAGTGTTGTTTTGTTTTTATCATAGGTTTTATTGACAAGATCAGGGGTAGGCAACCTAAGGCCCGGGGGCCTGATGCGGCCCCCCGAGGCCTTTGGACCGGCCCCAGGCTGGTCCTGCCACCGCCCCCCCGCCATGATGATATTGATTATTGTTGTTATTACTTGGTCTTGGGGTTTTCTTGGCAAAATCTCCACAGGGGGTTTGCCATGGCTTTTCTGGGGCTGAGAGAGTGTGCATGCATATTTTTTTTTTAAATTAAAATTTTTATGTTTTAAAAAATATTTATTTATTTATTTATTTATTTATTTATTGTGCTTTGGCCCCCCCCAATTGTTTGAGGGACAGCAACCCGGCCCCCGGCTCAAAAACGTTGCCTACCCCTGGACAAGATCTTTTTTGACAAGAAAAGTTTGCTACAGTCTTCCTCTTTGAGGGTGAGAGACTGTGACTTGCCCAAATTCATCCAATTAATCTACATGGCTGAACAGGGATTTGAACCCTGATCTCGCAGAATCCTAATCCAACAATAGGATGTAGGCTGTAATATATAAAACTGCAGTATAATATAATAATAAATAACTTAATACAGATAAATGATATTAGTTTTCCTCCCCTACTATCATATTTACTATTCTAGCGGATAAAATGAGTGAAGGTACCTGTGTTTTGTGTCTACACAGACATCTTAATGGTGCTGCCTGGTTTCCTTCACACACGCTCCCATTGCCTTAATCATAGTAAAGAATGGGCTGAAAGTTATCTTTTCATCTTCCATAGCATGGTAATCCAGTGTGACAAAAGTATCTTTGTTATACCTATATGTGCTCCTTTGCTATTGCCTACTGACCTGACATTTCTTAATCTGAGCTTGTTTTCCAGGTCACCAGTTTGCTTTCCCAGTGTTTTACATCTTTAGCTGCAAGAGGGTGAAGACATCATCAATCATTATCCTCCCATCTCCATCTTGCACACTGAGATACTTGGCTGGTGAGCAAAATATAAAGCTTCCAGAGCTGTTAACAAAAGCAAGTCTCGGAGGCTTAACATGGCTGACATGGGACTTCATGTTATTTGTTTATTAATATGAGTTCCCTTTGTTATGTCAGCAAGGTTATATTGTACAGAGGCACACTCACTGGAACAGAGAGTGTCAGGACATTATCTGATTTTTTAAAAACAAAAAAAATCATACTTATTTTCTAGAAAAATCAATAAGGAATCAATAAAGAATGGAAGTTTTGAAGAGTACTTGAGCAAACAAAACCATAAGTTTATAATGAAGGTGGCTGTTGATTTGTAGGTAGGTTTCTGTTTCTCTTTCTGTCTTAAGGATACCTCTAGGGATCAGATCCTTCTTTTTCAATAAACCAGGCTGGCCCTACCATTAGGCAGACGTATCCATCCTCCTTAGGCAGCAAAATTGGGATATGTCAAGTGTGGCTGCCTAAGTACTGTAAAAGACCCTGATCCTGTCTAATCCTGGAAGCTAAGCAGGGTCAGCTCTGGTTAGTACTTGGTGGGGAGATAGCCAGCGAAATGCTATATTTCAAAGAAAGGAACTGGCAAAACCACCTCTGAGTATTCCTTCCCTAGGAAAACCTTGTGAAGTTCATGGGGTTGCCATAAGTCAACAGGCAGCTTGCATATAGATATACATGAAAGCGTTCAAAAGTATTGTTTAATTTATTAGGATTATAATTTTGCTGTCAGGAACAGAAGTGCTTGTGAGATTCCCCCCTCCCTCTCAAGTAGCAAAATAACTGTCTTAGGTTGCCATGCATCTTGACGCTGGTGGTAGTGGATACCATGTGATGCATTGCCTCTGTAAAATGTCTTGGATATTTAATTGCAAATCAAGCAAAACCACAGAATGGGGCTTCATCTACCACTAGATGTCTAATTGTTCAGAGAGAGTGGGCATTTACCTCTCTACTTTGGGTTTTCTTCCCTCCCAATCCATGATTTGTCCTTATCTTGTCAGCTCTGGCCAAACTTGGTGGCATCCATGTCAGGTTACTCTTCAATGGGCAGAAAGCAGGAGTAAAACAAGAGTTTATGAGACAAGCCAAGATTTCACAAAACAGCACAAATACATTTCATCTTTCTACTTGCAGTTATTTAGATCAAGACGCTCTCACCAAAACCCCAAGACCTGCAAATGTTTTCACCATTTAGTATCTATTTTTTCTGCAGAGTTACAAACACTAAGCACTGCTGTTTTATTAGCTCACCCAATTGTAATCAAATTAAAATGTCTCCCTCTGAGCTGTATTTATTTTTTAAAATTGCATTTCTAAATCATTCATTGTCAAAGCTGATTGTGTGTGGGTTTTTTAAAAAAAAAGGTTAAAGATGCCTCAAGTCACAATTTTAGGGGAAGGTGACATGTAAATCAAATGAATTAATTAATAAATAATGCCACAACATACATAAATACAATAAAACAAAGTGAATAGACCTGGTATGGCTGGAAAGACAACCAGGTCAATATCTGACTACCTGCAACTGAAACTCTAAATTCTTTCTCTGTTTCTCTTCAACCCTATAATGGCTCTTCAGCATGACTAATAAATTAATATGTAGAGAGATCTTGTAGCACCTTTGAGACTAACAGAAAGAAATTAGCAGCATGAGCTTTCGTAGATTTCAGTCTACTTCCTCAGATGAATAATAAA